ATGTACAGCCCAAATCAGGGTGGCTTTTATCACATACGCTTTCCCTAACAACAACAGAAAATACAAATAACATCATTAGATTGCTGAACCAGAGAGTCTTTAAAAAAGCACAAATAATGTCTTTGTTGCAAATGAAAAGGATTTGAAATTCTGATACGGTTTTTGCCATGCTTTTGACTGGCTCAGAATTAACACCCAAATAAAGGAAAATCTACTGTTTTCTTCTGGGTAGTTCTTGCTAGGGGTTTGGGAGGTTATAGGGACTGCAGGCTGAAACTTGTGTCAAAGAGGTGTCAGAATGTTCAGCCAACCAGATTAGCTACTGTTTAAACTGTTTTGTCAGAATACTAAAATAACATTCTAATGTAAATCTACTTGGCTACATCGACATTCATTCTTCCCACCTGGGCCATATTTCAGGGCACAATCTACATTGTCCTTTAATGTGTTCTTCCTCCAATAGTTATTGCCTTTTAATGGCAACAGAAAGACAAAGTGAAAACACAAAAGTCTTGTGATTATTTTAAACCCAGTTAATGCTAAAATCTTAGAATGGCTGTTTAAATTTTAAAAGCCACTATAATGTTGAAGTATTTCTCAGAAATGTAGCACAGTACAATCCTTTAAATCAATCAGCAATTAAATGTATTTTTTTTTTAATTTAAGCCAGAGGCCAATTATGTAAGGGTGTCGCTTGAAAAAAAGTTGACAAAAACATTTAAGGAAAGCTGCATATTCCATTTTGCCAATGTCAAAGCCAATGAAAATCATTAGCTTGGTAAACCCAGCTAAGGAGGTCACAAGCTGCGCAAGGGTTTAGAGAAACCTTTTCTAAGGCCATTCTGTAGCCACTCCCAAAGTCTCACGTGTTTCTGAGTGTTTAAAAAACAAAACAAAACTTGCTTTTAAAAATTTCAAATAGGTAAAGACTTCATCGTAGGTAACTCATTTTTTTAACATTCACGAAGATGCTGGCCCATAATCCTCATTTTATTTTATGCAAAAGAGGAGATGAAATGAACAGAGCATGTGCTTGCTTGGCCAAACTATCTCACGAGTGTGATGGTGGGCTGGACCCAAGCGGCACTGCTCTCTTCCCTCTGGTACAGCTTCCTGCAGACTTCGCCATGGCAGCCCCTCAGTGAAAACTCAGGGTACTGCAGGACTCTCTGCCATATGTGACTAAGGGCCAAGTTTGCTGAGAGGGGTCCAGAGACAGAGAAAGCATTTCATAAATCCTGTTAAAACGAACAGAAGTCCTTGAACACAGAACAGCACCCCCTCACCAAAAAATAAACACTTTCGGCATTTTACATATGCTTATCCTACACTAACACATCTCCCCTCCATCCAGGAAATACTGAATCTGAGGGAGGTACTGAAATAACTAGATGATTACCCAAGTGCTTGCAGATCCCCCAGTATCACAGAGATCCCCATTCATTCTGAGCAGTCTAAAGCAGTAAAAAATTCTACTTCAGACACAAAGTGCTGCAAAGACATAAAAGGACTTTTTAATGCAAACCACAGAGTTTCAAATTTGCACACCCTTCTGCTTAACTTTGTCCTTCGCACAGATATTTATGTTGTTGGGCATGATATATCTTCATGCATCTGATTAAGGATTTCCTTAGAGACATATGATATGTTAGCTAAATGGCTGCATATTTTAGGATAATCTAACATTAATATGTCTCAGATCTCAAGTACGTTTGACCTTCCCCAGTTCTGTTGGAAAGAAATCAGGTAACTATAAGAAAATGAATCTATTAATTTCTGAGGAACCAAAAATTGATGATGGCAAAGAAGAGAAAAGCAAGGACATTCTGTTATATCAGGTATTCACGTTCACAATACCATGCAATATCATCTTTCCGAGTACTGCTGTTAGCAGCATTAACTCTTCAAATCCTGATACTCTTAAATCAAGGAATATCTTGCTCTGCAGTTGTCCCAGAAAATAGATTAGATGACTGTTTTTGGATTAAAGTATCATTAAATGTGAAAGCTTGTCAGAAACTTCTCTCTCACATTTTTACTTTTTCAAATTGTGAAGATACTTCTACAATCTAATTGTTGAACAAGAAAAGTTACATCTTTGTGTCTACATGCTTAGACCAAGGAAAGTAGTGAGTAGAAAAGATCTTTTTGATATATCATTAATATATTTTGGTGATATAAAATTATGGCTTGAAGAATTAATGTACAATCACATTTCCCTAAAGGTACACAAGGTTCAGTAAGTTTCTTCATCCTGTGTTATAACTCCTCTAATTTGCTACTCAAAGGCTCTCAAAATGACTAATCTGATTTGAAATTTTACTGTTTAATACAGCTGCACAAATCGCATATTATTTAGTAAGATGGCTTTAGTAAAATATATTGCATTCTCAAATAATGGCAAGATGATAAAGGTAGGTGATAACGCACAAAACACATTAAAGGCTAACAACAGCCTGCCAAAACGAATAGTATGAGATTCAGGCTGTAGACCCAACCATAACGAACCCTGTAAAGATACAGGGCTCGGTAAACTCTCATCTCAGATTCATTCAATGCTGCCTAGCCGAGGTAACATAAGATCCTAAAATATCTCAAACCCAGAAGCTGGCATATAAAATGCATTGTCACCTTCACTTCAATGCAAAAGGAAAAAAAAAAGAAAAGAAAAAAGAAAGCCAAGAAAAGAAACAAGAAGACAAACTCATAAATCCCTCTAAAAAAGCAGAAAAGGGAGAATGAAAAGAGTAGCAATGTATGTGTATCCGAGTCACTAGGAGACCCAGTACATTCGTCTTTTGGGCTTGAGCACACCTGGTAAATTACAGGGCTGAGAATAGGGATCTAGGTTTTTTTCAAACCTACTAAAATGTATAGGTACCTCTGCTTCAGCTGGGTTAGTATACTACAAATATACTGATAGCTTAGCCAAATGTTTATGTCAGAAGCCGGGAAAGTAATATCCTGTGGCACTCCACTGTTATTGCAAGACTAGTGTGATTTCTGAGGCATTAAGCTGAAGGCTGAGCAAGTTCTATCAACCAAACTATACTGTAATATTCCAGGAAATGCAATGTCTATTATGTCTTATTAGAGTAATGAAATAATTATACAAAACTAATGAAAATGAGCCATACTTAATAATTCTCTGGGTAAATCCATGACATAGATATGACAGAACTGACAGTCTATCAAAAAGTTCCATTTGTGCCCATAATTTTCAAGTAATAATTATAACAGTGCCATTTATTCCATTATAGCTGGTCTGCTGCGGATTTTTTAAAAAGTAGCATTAAATAATGAAGATATTTCATCATTAAAGCCAGCTATTTTAGCATGGACATTTTTATGTTACATTTACGTTCACTGGAATTATAGACAACTACCTCTCATCATCAAATTCGCAGTTTTTACCCAGGTAAATCTCACTGGATTTTGGTGGGAACTTTGCTGAAGTTAAATGTTGCCTAAGTGGAATCAGGTTTTTATATACCCACTGACTAAACAGAGAAAGCACCTACATTAAGAGACCTTTTTGTCAAAGCCTAAAAACCAAAAGATGGTGTTTTATGTCTCCCACATTTGTTAATTAGTTAACTATGCCATTTATATTTTTATATATATATCTAATAAATGGTGTTTTATGTCTCCCACATTTGTTAATTAGTTAACTATGCCATTTATATTTTTTTATATATATATATAATATATAATATATAGTTTTATTACAGTGAATTCTTACTTACTTTCTGTGATATACAAACTACTTCATACATAATGACACAGTGTGTACCAATATTCATATAACTAAGAAGCGATCATTAATTCCATATTAAACACATTTGCATTTACATTTTAAATACGCATGCTTTAAGCCCTTGTAAAATTAACAATTTTTTAATTAAGAATTACTTAGAGCAGAAGACATTACATGAAATAGTTATCACTGCATTTTGATAATCCAGTTTCCAAAGAGATGGGAGAAATAAGATGGACAAGTATCTAACTTCCTTGTAATTGCAGGAAAACCAATGCGTAGCATTCACCCAGCTCCTACTAACTGGTGATTCTTCCTTAAAGCTCCAAAACCTCAAATGTCCCCAGGGGATGAATGAGATCCTCAGGCCATAGTATTACAGTGACAAAATCAAAACTAATGTAAATTGCTGTATCGCTGATGTCTCAGCTTACCCTAATTCCTGATCTACGTCATTAACTTTACACACCATTAGTAATTCGAACCCCTAAACTCTGTGGGTACCTCTAGATTAGCTTTGAAGCATTAGACCCTGATCAGACTAAAACTCACACAAAGTTTAAAATGTCGGACAAATGCCTGTTTTATACATACTCTTTGGACAAGTTCAAGAGCATGAAAAAGGAGGACACTCAAGATCATGCTAGATCTAGGTTTTGGCCCAAGAACCCTCCTCGCTACAGTATGGACACAGTAGGTATGTATGCAGCTACGCATGCTCAGTCGAAGCCCACTAGCAACCCTCGTGGTGAAATTACACTGGCAAAGCTGGCAAGCAGAGTGACAAAAGGGTGTTTCCTGCAAGAATCCCAGCATCACTCTCAGCAAAGGCCAACCATCTCATCATGCAGGACACCTCAGCTCAGAGCTGCGTGGCCATCCTATTCCCAAGGTTGAGAGATCCTGGGGCAAGGCCAGCAGCGTGGCACTATTTTGGAGTTGTGGGCAGGAAACATATCATAACTTAGCTGCCCACCACTTTTAAATATAAATACGAGACATAAAATACTACTAGTTTTGCACAAAAGAAGCAGCCCCATGCAGGCATAAAAGTACAGTCTAATTTGATTTACATAGACCAAGGGAAAAAAAGATAGAGGCCCTATCGAAATCAGGAATAATTTTTAAAACAAGTTGTCAAGAAAATATTTTCAGAAAAAAAATACAAACCCATTCAAATTCTTCTTAGTTTGCTTATAATGTGCATATATAAAAGAATGAACAACTGTTCTTTTGAACTTACATATGACGTAATAGTCTTTGTTCCTCTGAAATTCCAGGCCCCAGAGATTAGGGCTAAACTCTTGAAATTTGATGGTAAACTTAACATCTTGATCTGGCTTGGCACAGTTGAGTAGAGGTGTATTGTCCTTTTTAATAGCACAGCTATCTGCTTGGTCTTTATCAACCATGTAGACCTTATAATACTCATACTGGCCAACAGTTTTAGAGTCCACCTTTGGGCATATAATATCCAGTTTGTCTCCTATCTGTGGATATAGTACCAATCCTTGTCCAGGAAGGAATCTAAAAGAAAGAAAGAAAGAAAAAAAAAAAAAAAGGAAAATGTGAGACAGTTCAGAAATATCATTCAGAAAAGTAGCAATTGCAATGGGCAGAAAAGAACAAACAAGCAGTTTCCAAAACCAAAATGACAGAGTAAGCAAACCCGTTCTTGTGCCTCACTCAATTTAATATCAACAAGATGTTTACTTAAATCTTAGAAATTACAGCTGGATTGAGTTTTATAACCTTTATCGCAGTTTTAGGAACTCTAGAAGGTTTTGAGTCTCTGGCAGGCACCATGGTTTCTTCTACAGTAGGTCATCTATGCAACAACCAGTGAGAAGTATGAGGGGTTACAATCTTGTTTTTCCGTTTCGGTAACACTTCTACTCTTCTTGCACGTATTGTGGTAACTTTGGACATGGGAGAATGACAGGAGTAATTTGTCAAACCTCCTTCAAACGCAAGAAAGAAAATAACTTAGTGCTTAAGATTTAACATATTAAAATGCTGATCACTGCTGTTGGTAATATAGTATAACACAAAGCAATACCAATCATTCATCAGGATCTTGCTTATAAACTAACAACGGATAGGAAATCTACCTGACCCAAGGAACGCACACACTTTAGATAATGCACCTGGCGTGACAGTGTGATCATTTCACTACAAGGCTCTCTCCTCTTTGCAAACTCCACCATTACAGTAATTATTTTGTCTCTTTTCTTCTTGTCTGACAAGTGAAACGCAGCTGTGCTTTTGCCTTAGTACAAATAAAGACTTCTTACACAGACTGGCAGTGAGCTTTAATATTTTGGGTTAGACTTCATCTTATATCTTTGCTATTGGTATTAATAGGCAAACTTTACCATTTCTTCACAAAAGGAAAGTATTGATTCATCCACAAAATGAGAAGCCTTGATCTTACAAGGACAAGAGCCACAGCAGGTTTGGATTTTGGTTTTCTGTTTTTCTCCTGAAGATGTATTTGTTCCAATTCAGATCAAGAAGTATGGCTTCAGAACTACAGCCAATAATACAAAGTCCCCTAATGCACAGACCTAAAAGCTTGACTTTCTTTCCTCTTTCTCCTGCCTGCCAGCCTTTTCCAAACATCCTTCCTAACGGAGAATCAGCCAGAAAAACTGACTCAAACAATGGCTTCCTAAGGAATGTCCTTCTCCACACGCTAACATTACACAAAACACATAGTAAATCTAACTTATTTACAGGCAGTCTTCTTCTTCAAAACTTATTAGGATATTAAGGACCAAGAACAAAGCTCTAGGCATAGATTACCTCCATCCTTTTGCTTAGCTAAAGAAGCCCACCAGCAAGCATTAGTACTGTAATACAACTTGCTAAATTAGAGAAAAGGCTGATGTGATGCCCCAAATTTCAAATCTATCCTTCACAACTGCTTGCTCCCACGCAATGCAAGTTTATGATCTGCGCTAATTGAGTGGGATTATTTTCACTCACAAAGCCTGTGCAAGAATTATATTTGTTGTGAAGCAGCGTGTAGCGGGACAAAGACATGTAATTACAGATTCAGGGGAAAAGAACAATGAAATGTTATGGCAAGAAAAGCGACTGTTGACGTATAAATCACTGTGCTCTTTTGTGTAGCGCAGCGTAATTTCTAGACTATTGAAGCGAGGGTTGGCCATGGCTGCTAAAATAGGAGTGTACTAGAGACTGGGCAAAGCTGCACCCCCTCCTTACAGTCCTCAGACACGGCAAAGGAATGCAGCAACTGCTATGTCCCTAAACGGGTTTTGAATGGTAAAATGAATGAGAAGGTGGAAATACATTTACTCTCCTTGGAGTCTGCAGCCTTGTGAGGAACCATCCAGGGAGAGGCTAGCTCTGCTTGGGAGCAGAGGAAATGGAGAAAGAAAGGCTGCAGCAGGTAAGCGATTGCAAAAGCAGCATCAGGGATACAGACTCCAACTTTCCCCTGGAAGTTTCTAGGAACAACACAAATCAGGCAGAGGCCAAAGGAACTGTGACAGAATTTCTGAGCTAACCTAGGTGATTTACTACTAACTTTATCATCTTGTCTGATCGCAGTCCAATTTGACTTTGCTCCTACACAGAAGTCTAGAAGATGAAAATTACACCTACTCCTCCAGCTTGTATGCCAGGCCAAAGGCCAGTCACTGTATGATCCCACTGCTGCAAATATCTCCACTTGCAGTAAGTCTACTTCACATAATGGGAATATGTAATGTGAGACGCACAAGATTTCTCAGGATCGGATCTTTGTTTTTAGATCAATCAATTTAAATTTGCATGCATAATAAATATGAAATTCATAAGGTCAGAAACACACACCTGTCTGTCATTATCAATAACATGACCTAAAAGCTGCTCTGAAAAAAAAAAAGCATCAAATCTAATTTTAGATTTTGTGTATTTATATGTGTAATTAAGTAGTAACGATACGTCCCCTGTACAAATTCTGAGCACAAACAGGCGAAGTTCACAGACAGTACGCAAGACAATTCTCAGAAACAACTACTAAACAGAAAGCACATTTATGTGTCTTGGTTAAGTAGCTAGGAATTGCCCTATAAAATGTAAAGGACCGAACCACCCCCCACAGACAGCTAAAACACGTTTTACAAGAGCTTTAACTGATGCACTCGTTAGACTTTATGGCAGGGGAATATTCTAGCTATGTGTCTGAAGTCTGCACAGTCTGAGAATTAAACTTGAAAAATCTGCTTCCACTTCAGTTTCTGAACACTTAGGATCTAACACTGATGAGATTAGAAAGAAAAAAGACTGAAAGTGAAAGGATTAATCTGAGAACTTGATTGTCTTGAAACTTTTTTCCACGGTTTGTAGTTCTGACTGTGACCTTTGTGTGGAAAGTATTTTTGCAATTTAGGTTCCTTATTTTCTTACAACAGTAAATTATAAATATGGATGGAGAGAACAAAAAACAAGTTTCACCTCATGCATTTCAGTTTCACCACAAAAATTCATAGTGACCCATAACTAGGCATGATTGTTATCCATCAGATTGCGTAAGAACAGTCTTGCTACTCTATTTTCATAAAGATTTTAAATAAATCACCTGCTGGATGCTAAACATTTTCTGAAACTAAGCTATTCATCAAATGCCAAGGAATAGGATTAAGAGTATTGCTGTATGATCTTTGTATCTTAAAGGAAGGACTACATTCAGTCTTGGTATAGGTTAACTAAAATTTCAGCAAGGCTGAATCTCTCCTGAATCTTTATATCTGCAAGTGCTAATGTAGCCTTAAACATTCTGGGGTAGCATCAACACTGATGAAATGTTGGCATGACTGCATCTCTAAAAATAAAATGTATAAACTGGTTTTAAAGTGTGAATGGAACATACCTTCAACTAATTAAAGACCTTTTTCAAAACAGAAACATAAAAAAGATGGATCAAGAGGTTTTCCGAACCTGTGAATGATACCCGAAGGAGGCTACATTATATTGGTTGTTGCTTCAGATATTCACACAGTCTTTGAGGAGTTGGGACAGTGGCAGCCCTGGAACCATGCCTTCTAACTATAAATATTCCTTAGTGGGAAACCTACATACCAATATAGATCCCCAACAGAAACTTAGGGGAAAAGCTCAGCCAGTTTCCTGACTCTTTTATTCCAGCACTCAGATAAAATGAGATTAGAGCATTTTGAAAAATGTTACCCGCATTAATAACCATAGTGCTCACTGTGAGAAAGCACAGAAAATATATGAAGTATAGTAAAAGCTGCAGAATGACATTAACACATTTTCTGTCTGGCATTTTTAGATAAAGAGCGTATTTTCACTAATACCCCGAATTTTGGTGCATTGCAGGTAACGTTTGACATCTGTACCAAATTTGCCCATGGATGTGAATCCATCCTATATGTCCAACTAATCACATAGCTTATCAAGTAACAGCAACTTTCTGAGTTTTCAAACCTTGTTGTAAGTATTACATTAGATCAATATTCACATACCACATGAATAGAAAAAAGGGCCTTGGAAAGGAGTAGTCTATTTCCCACTCCTGTCAATGTTACAGTAGTTTTCTGTACTACACTTACGCTTCTACTTTAAGGCCCAGAAGTTCCTGGGGTTACTATACCCTGACTGGTCAAACTCCTAAAGAAGTTAGTTAAGATTTGATTTTGAAATTTTATAGAAATTAAATTTTAAATTCTACAAAGTTTCAAACTAATTTCTTAAGTATCTAATTTAGATTTCATAGAAACTTACTGCATTCACCCCTACTAAAATATGCAGCACCATTCCATAACTATAACTATTCAAACCTGTCCTGTTCCACAATATTAAATTCTCTTGGAATTAGAACTTTATCTGTCAGTAGATTTATTTTCCCTGAAAATATTCTACTATTTCTTTCTAGACAGCCACATCTGAAACTGTAAATTATCAAAATATAAAATTCTCAGAGAGACAAGCTCTTAATTAATTGATCTTAATATAAAAACATTTTGTCAACCTTTTCACAACTATATAGATGCACACTACATATTCGCACATGCTTGTGTGTGTGTGAGTGTATAAATATAACACTTAGCTTTAACTATGTCCTAGTAATTATAAAATAAATGTAATTTTAAAAAGCATGTTACTACTTGTTAAGAGTCTTGTATATTTAACTGAGGAAACAGTGCTAAATTTCTATGCTTTAATATCTTACCTGAACTAATTGGTCTAGGCAGTTAGTTTTAAATTAATGTAACAAAAATAACTCTCAGAATGTGAACAATCAAGATGCTTCTTAAAATGCAGCCTGAAACCTTCTGTTGGAGAATCCTCCTCACTTAACTTTATGAAGTTTAGCTACCAGTCTGCCTATAAAGTTATTCATTGAAAAGTTTCATTAAGGAAACGTCATGAATACTAATAACACAGTATGTTAGTCCGTTACTTGTACAAGCACAAACAGAATAAAGAATCACATTCCTTGTACAGCTCCCGACTGTTTAAAAAACAATAGTTATTACATTGTGTATGTATTCCTCATCTCG